CCCCCCCCCCCCCCCCCCATCTTCCGTTTCCAATTATCGTTCTGCGACGCAATTGCAAAAGGACGAATGTTTTCGCGTGACGCGGGGGAAGATATTGCGAAAAAGTCGTCGCGTCGTTTTCGCGATGATTATTAACTTTTCTAACTAAGCCCCCCCAACTGTATACACGGTGTGCCAAGTCGGACTGGATGAAAGCCATTAGATGCTTTCGTGTACTTATAGTTGTCGAAAGAAAAATTTCGTGCAAAGTTATGCACTATCTAGTGCTTTATTGTCAAAGTTCAAACTAATTGTCCTCATTTAACAGTTGAGCAACTTTGCCAGTAATGCACTACTAAATTGCACTTCTTTACCAAGATTTCCAGAACACACAGTAGACTACGCTATTATTCTGCAAGACCGGTTATCACGATAATATTAAATTTTCAAAATTTTAATTACAAATATTATCCCCATAGACATTTGCAAAATCCATACGTAACAGTTGAAAAGAGATTCAAGACGTCCATGCACGTAATGGGAAAAAATCAAGTGAAAACTGTAAGTTACGAAAATTCGTACCCCTACTCTTGGACGCCATTGCAATTTCGTTATGATTAAATTTAAATTTTATTGTAAATAAAATTTTTCATTTTCCCTCCTTACGTAAAATTGTATGTCAAAAGCGATGTGGCACAATTAAATTTTCAGCACGACAAACGAATTTTTTCCTCCATTACATTCTTGCCCGACCTTTGATCCTCCATAAAATCTAATTTCACCATAAAATATAAATATCAATTTTATACTTCATTTATTTCACGAACGACTGGCTTCGAAAGTTCAACTACAAGAATACCGGTTGCCCACGATCTTGATATTACGTCATTGAACAAAATATGAGAAAAAGATAACTTGACATAGTCGACAGGGGTGGTAATGTCACTAGAGAATAGATATATACCAATGACCCTAGAGCGATAGGATTCCAATTAGCAAGTGCAGTATCGAACCAGCAATATCCTAACCATTCCAATACTGACCTTTGCTAAATCAATCTGACCCCACATGTATAGAACACTGGCCCGACATATATAGTATACGACTGCGTGCATTGAAACCATCATCACTAGAGTCCTCTCGGAATTTCTCCATACATCGTACACATGTGTTGCCAGGAAAGATCTCAAAACGCCATGTGTGTTACGTCGGTAGAAATGAATACCCAAAGAGATGACAGTAGAAAATATCCCATATATTAAATAAAAGAGAGCATGTACTCTAAGAAAGTCATATTTGCCTTACACACATGAATAAGTTCATAAAACCCATCTAGATGCATTATCTACCAGATGTGACCTGGATAACAGATCATTTAATGAGACCAAAATTTCAAAATTCATTTTCACCAAAATTCATTCTACGTCGTATCCTGAAATTAATATACATTAGGCTCATTTTCGTTGACAATGACAATGGCATCGCGCAACGTGGCTGACAGTGTCGTTATATTTTCATGAGGGTCGAAATGCTTGGGGCTTTCATAAAGG